TCATTATTCATTAGCAAACATACATTTGATTTATATAATATTGTTACATTTAAAATTAAAATTACAATTATTGACTAATAGTGTACAACACAATATTTTGTTTTATTTAAATCATTTCTAATGATCATTAATATACGACTGAAATGTTGATAATGTCGGTAGTTTGATTTTTGTTGAATTTCAAATTATTTTAATTTTGAAGAACCAAAAATTGAAAACAAGTTTATCAATATACAATTTTAACATAATAAAAAGCAACATAAGCCTCATTTTAACAACTTTATGCAAATTTTTAAACTTTGATGAGGAATGAAATATTTTTATAATTATAAAATATGCGATCTTATTAATAATCCGTTTTTGAAAAGTAATATAGTATAAACGTAATAGTAATGTAAAAGTAATGTAATATAAAAATTAATCCAACCATATTCTATTTTTTTTTTAAATACAAATGATTAAAATATTAATATTGTTAAGTTTATCAGCTTTAAAGCATTATCTTATCAAACAATTAAGATTTTACTAAATATTATTTCTAGTTTAAATGTCCAAATTTGGCATCTGATGATAAAATAATTAATATAGCTGTATACTAATTGTAAAGTAAGTTATTATACTAAAAATACGAAAACTTGAAAATTACTAAATACTAAAAATTGTTTTTTCTGATTCGATAAACTATCATTAATTTTAAGAGTATGCAAATAAATAATATATACGCTAATAGCTAATAAAAATAAAAAAAAATAATAAAACGACTTTTATAACAAAAGACCAACTCGGAACCGATATCTATATGATTTTTTTTTTTTGCTTGATTACGTAATGAAAACTTAAGATATATAACTAAGAATATTTAATTCATCGTAATTTGTATAAAAAAAAATTATTATAAATATAATTATTAATATTTGTCTTAAATAATTAATTATTTATATCGTACTGTATTTTAGCAACGTACACTAGAATTTCGTTAGTTAACCAACAAATATTAATATTTTTATTTATATAAATGCCAAATTTGTATGAAACTTGGAATTAAACTAATAAATATAATTTTAAATTGTTATAATATTGTTGTAATATAAATATAAAGTATAGTTAAAATGTTCAAAGCTTTTCCCCCAAGCAAAGTTTACTTCATAGTAATGTATAGTATGGATTAAAGTCGCATCGGAAACTTTGTTCAGATAGAAGGTAATAAACGTAATGCATGAACGGTTTAAAAAATATTTCAGTCTTCCAATTCGTCTGAACGATATTAAAATTAATTATTTTTTGCTTGCATTCCCGTCTGAAAATATATATTTAATGACATTTAACATGTAGTTAGTATATTTTCCAATAAATATTTGTTCAGTTTTCAGATATTTGTTATTTATATTGAAAATTATTTAATTATATTGTACATTTTAATAAACCGAAAGATATGATAATAGTGCGTATCGTTAAAAAAATAAAAATTATAAATTCAATTAAGTAATAATTTTTTTTCCGGATATTATTTGTGTATTATTTCCGTTTAAAAAAATACCGTGTAAATTAAAATTGTTTTTGCGAAATATTGAGTAGATTTTATTACCTAGTATATATAAATTAACAAATGTAAACATTTTATGGAGTATTAGTTTATTTAGATGGTAAAATAAATTACAATTCACTGAAAAGTAAACTACATTGCATGAAATACCGAGTTTAAATGAAAAGAAGGGTTAAAAATATCATACGGAGATAAAATATGGTTTTATTTATACTATCGTGTTTCACTTAATAAAAATATACTATTAGTTTTAGATTTTTTTTTTCATATACAAGTTCTTACAGTCAATGTTATTATAGTATATTAAAAATAAATATGAATTATTAATGAGAAAAATAAAACCAGTGTTTGTATTCAAATAACCAATCGAAAATAATATTTTCAGTTTTCATAGCTATTCTTTTGAAAGTATTTTAGACGTTGACTATATTTTAATAACTAATAAACATTACAAATCTTACAATTTTATTACTGTGATGATAATAATAATAGTGAATAATAATAAAATATTAATCGCATTGATATTGAAATATTAATGCCCTCAGCTTAGATAATTTTAAAAATGGATTAATTTCTATTACATCGATAAAAAATAAATGTTTGATTTAAATTATTGAATATGTTTTTTTATTGATTTATATACTTCGATACTATTATGAAACATATGTTGTGTATGTTGAATAATCAGTCCAACTTAATTATTTTTTTTTTTTGTTTTTTTTTTAACTTGTTTTTTATTAGAAATAATTACAACAAAGCGATTACAATATGATGATATGTTCAAAATATTAAAAAATTAATAAAATATATAAAAAACTAGGAACTACATATTGACTTTAAATAAGAAAGCCAGCGGTATGAATGAATTGGATAAGATAATGAATGATTGGAATGAGTTGAGAGTTGAGAAGAAGGTTAGAATTGGGAGAGATATAGCCAAAGAAGGAAGAAAAGAAAAAAGGATTTGTCTACTAGTGATGAGAGAAAAGCAATTGAATGAGATGTGATCAAAATCGCATATCGATTCATCAAGATGTCGTGTACAGAGAGGGTAAGAGTTTATGTTAAGTTTAGAACAATGGCAAGGAAGTAAACTATGATCAATTCGAAACCGAGTTAAGATACAATTAGGTGCCTAAAAATCTCGAGGTCCTTAAACCATGGATGTTTGGGAATAGAGGAAGCTATATGTCTTTGCCATGCAGCATAATTAGATGGTAGAGAGTCCCATTTAGTTTGCCAGGCATTGCACAATTGTTTGCGGTGGATCGGAAGAAAGTCGGAAGCAGGTGTTTTATATGGAGAAAAAATAGATGAAGAATTTTGTTAAAAAAGCTAGGTGGTTTGCTCGCTTATTATCGGCTATACCATCGATTATTTTAAAATAGTATAATTTGTATATAATTGCTATATATTATATTAAATCTACATTTTTAAATATTAGTTTTATCGTTCATAACTATAGGAAAAAATTACTTATTTATAATAAGTTTTTAACACCACAACCCTTAAAATTATTATGTTCAAAATAAACTAAAACTAATGGTAACGATGAAAAAACTCAAACCTCTAAACAATAAGCATAAAAATAACAAAATTTTCCATTTTTTTTTCCATACTAATCTATCTGACTATTTTATAACAACATACTCAAATTTAAATTAGTTTTAATTATATTAAATATAAAAAAAATAAATCATCATATGAGATACATTATCACTAAAGACAGGATATAAGCGGAATTACTATAAAAACTATTTTAATAAAACTAGATGTAATTAAAAAGTTGAAAATATTTTCTTATAACTTTTTAATAATTTGGAATTGGACTTTATATATAATCCAATACTAATAATGGCTGTTGCAAGACGAATAAGTTGTTTGTAAATATGAAGTTTCTTCTTTAGTGACTGTTTTGTAAGAAAGAGCTGTCATCATATATTGAGTGCTTTTCTGTTTTGTTTTGATATAAGGTGCTTTAATTTCTGTCAAGATGAACTCTTACGTGTTTGACAAAACTTGTCATAGAAACTTCTTTCGAAAAAAAGAAATATACAGGTAGACTATTTTTAAAACGTAGATTACATAAGTGCTTTGATAAATAATTATTAATGTGCTGTATTAAAAATTGTATGGTAAACATCATGCAATAATAATATTAATGATAAAAACTAAATACGTGAATATATTAACATTAATAAAATAATCATCCTAATCTAAAATTTCCTTTCAACGTAAATAGTTGTTGTTATTTGAGTTCGTAAACTCTCTTAAGAAAATTCAAAAGCGCATACGGCGTCAAAGGATAATAATTATATCTAATTTTCGAAACTCAGATCCCAATTTCTGTGAAATGTGGGAAAATAATAGTACAACATATAATCACCATTGCTGATTTAAGGAACGATCCCATTGTACCAGAACGTTATGCCTCCAAAAACTAAGTAATCCAATATATTTAAGGTGTATTTTTAGAGTTGAGAAGAATTCAATGTGTGTCCAAAAATAAAAAAATTGATTTCATTTACAAATTCATTACAATATTATAATTGGAGGATATCGAAAAACTTATATTTTATGTTATATTACTTATATTAAAGATTTAGATTAGAAGTATATAATATGAAATAGGTACCTACTTTACGTAGGAGTGAATACTTCATTAATTATATAACTCAATAATTTTAATTATTAAAAATATTTAAAATTTCATTTTGTCGTTCAAAAAATCGTTTGCTTTTACTTAGTAATTTATTTATATATTTTTGAAATTTTATAATGTACAGAAATTAGTATTTTTTCCAATTATTATTGAATTACAGTTTTTCAGCTAAAACGTATTTTCATGCATAAATTAATCGATCCCAATAATTTCTATTATTTTCATTGTATCAAATCTAAGAATACAACTCGGCTACGAATAACAGTTATGAAAATACTTTGAAGGGATAAAAATTTACTAACATATACTTAAAAATGTCATTGAAATTGATGAATTATTTAAGTATTTGTAGATAATAATCAATCCTTATTGACATCTAATTTCTAGACTTGTACGAAACAGGTTTATGAGATCAAATAAGCTACACATTTTCATACTTGATTTGCACAACGCATTATTTAATATAGTGTTTTTGAAAAAATTAGATTATAGCAAAATAATTTTATTTATATTAATATTTAAATCATAAAAATAAATGAACAATGTCTTCATATATTTTAGACTATATGAAAATAATTATTATTTAAAAAAAAACTCGCTTATCTTTTATTTGAAGAAAACTAAAATTAAAAAATTTCAAATAATATATCCCGATATAGTTTTTAAGTACTTTACATTGTTTGATGCATGTTTGAAATCATTCAAAACATAATAATTAATTAAACCTACTATATTTGTGATTATTTATTATAAATGTAAATATCATAAATTATTTATAGTAAATATATGTTCCAGGGAGTTTCTTGCATTGCTATAAAAATAAATTTCAGACTGCGGTAAAGAAGCGTAATCAAATTGCAAAATGCACAACTTAGCCCATAACGTTCCCGTGTTAAACTCTCCTTCGTCATTTGTGTATAATCAATTTGGATCTTATGGAACAACTTATAATCAAGTTTGTCAAGTTTATATATTTGAAAATATTTCGTACTTCGTATTTTATAGATGATAAGATTTAAAACACTTAATTTTTTTTTTTTTTTTAGTTTCATAATTATCTTACGTAGTTTAATCTTTGTAAATTATTTAAACTCCGAACCCCAATGCACATAAATGACCCTAAGCGGTTTTATCATATATAACAAATGAAATATCTTCAGTGATTTATTATAATTTATAAATCATTCGGAGTATAGTAGAACATAATAGTTTGGTTATATTCACTTGCATAATAAAAGTTTAAAACAGTAATGTGTAAGAAAATATAAATTTCCAACGATCGGAAAATCAATACAAAGATCTACTAAGATGTTTTTGCGATCCTCCTTTATGAGTAAATTATTTACTGCGTAAAATTGCATTTGCTGAACTCAAGCCTCAAACATAATATTACAATTTATCCTCGATATGTAGTTAAAAATTAGTCGTGAAATAAATTTTAATAAAATCTTTTTTTTTCGTCAAAAACAAGTGTGTATTTATACCATATTTCTTAAAATTAAATGGTCAACACCGTTACGATATAAGTACATAATATGTACAACTGTGTACCGTGATGATTTAGCAGAATAGTTTAACGAGTGCAATAGCGAAAATCATCTGTAGAAATTGAATGTATCCCATATTATCATTTTTGTGTTGGCGAAAATATTAACATACACAAACGCATTTGTTTTAATTAGTCCTCGCTATTAGCATCGATCCAACCGCCGCCAACAGCCACGTACATCAACTCGATGGTAACCGCTCAAACAATTACAACACCGGTCGTTTCCTCAGCCAACTGCAACGGTAAGAATTTATAACAATAATACTGTGATTCCTGGATCCTGCCGCGATCATCTTACCGAATCCGAATGCTATATGAACGTTAATTTTATCTGTTCGAATGTTGTGCAGCTCAGGTCGTGGGCAATCGCAATATTTTGTCTACTCTACCGTCACAGATGTTTTCGATCGACAACCATCCGAACACCTCGACCAGAGAACAACATTCGACCACCACGACTACCAATCCTATAGTGTACATCAACGCGTCCATGCAGCAACAATCTTTCTCCACACGTAATGATTTTTTTTTAATTGTTCTTTTACGTTCATAACCAATCGTAAATCAACACTACAGTATACAAACATGCGCATAGCTCTTTCACCTTTCAAAAGCGAACACAGCACATTACATACAATTGATACTTTAAGTGTAGGACGATAAGCGTACAAAAAAATAAATAAAATAATACTACCCATAATTGGATCACGTGCAGAGGGAGCACGAGCAAGTCGATATTACAATGTCTGTGACGTTATTATTCGATACTGATTAATGATTGGGATACAAAATCGTAACCAAACCCATTTTACATTTTCCACGTAAGCTATTCGTGATATTTTTCGTATTACCGTACGGAAAAATATTCGACAACGTTTGAAACATCATGAGCTGTGTGTTCTATTCGACTGTTTCTGAAATGCACTGGGAATTTATACGCGTAGTAATTTTTAGAAATATTCCGCCGCTGATTCTACCCCAAAAAGTAATTAAACACAAAATTACGAACTACTAATAAAATTTGACTAAATTAATTCAATGATCCGATTAAACAAAATTAATATCAAACATTCAAATATGCCTTTAATCGAGACGTACCGGAAACACATTGTTATTCGTGGCCATACGGCACATTCGATCAAATATTATGAATAATGCGAAACATTCTTGTACAGTTACAGAATAATTGTAGTTTGTACGAGTTATTTTGAAGATAACAACATTTTTCGTATGGAACTGAATAACATGCATTCATAGTAAATCGTACATATTATTGCTGTGTTAAGGTAGTTCAGCCAAACATTTCGTTTAGACCCTATACTATTTATAACTCTTAACGATTGTTTACAATATCTCGAAATTTCTCAACGATTTCTCAGAACCCTTTCTAAAATACAATATATCATCTCGAAAGGATCCATGTACATATACATCGGCTACATTTATGTAATATCCATTCTTCGCTCAGTCACAAGAATTTATAATAGGATTATAATATATAATATCGTGTATCGTATTACACAATATCTCTATATTTTCTTAGAAAGACAATATAATAACATCCTATAGCAAAAAACCAATATCTTCATTGAAAAATCTGAAAATCATAAGAGATAATTTAGAATTCTTACATTCTTTACGCGTTTGGATAAGACACTGAAATCGGAGTACCTTCATTTAATTTAAATGTATTTACAGACGATTTAAGGTCGATTCGCACTATACGGAACGTCAACGTTACGTCACAGACCGGTAACGTCACGTCAAAATATCTTTCTATGTATTTATACCGCAATGTTCACATACACCGGCAACATTACACAACGTCAACGCTACGGAACGGCAACTCAGATGGATGGAAAGCTAGATGTATGTTGGGATGGTCCTCGAGGCCGCTAACACCCAAAAAAAAAAATTATAAAAATATTTTGACGTGATGCAACCGGTCCGTTTTGTCTGTTCGGATAGTATGGATGTCAACACGGAACGTTTCCGTCAACAATAAACTATATTTTGGATGTGGAATTGAAAATAAATTACATTAATTATTTGATTAATTAAATAATATATTAAACATTTAAATAGTTATGGAAGATGAGATGTTGATTGAGGAAATATGCCAATGTAAAGAATTATATGATATGACACACAAAAAATATAGTAACAACATTCACAAAGATAATGGTTGGAGAAAAATTTATATAATTTTTTTCTTCGTCGTCCAAAATTAAGGCAATCATCGCTAGTTGTTTTTTACTGAACTTAGACAAATTCGAATATTAAAAAAAAAAAATGAATTTAAACTAATAGCGTTTCTGTGACGTTGACGTTCCGTATAGTGCGAATCGACCTTTATAAAAACTGTAAGAAAATAATTATGAATGTAGTAAAAAATTAATTATTTTTTTGAATCATTTCGATGTAATCATTTTAGTCGTTTTATATGATAAATACGTACAAGTAATTCGTAAAAACGTACCGTATATAGGTTATTACCATAGGTACATTAGATACTTTTTTTTTAATTGAAAAATAATAAGCTGTAGTGTGTAACGAGTAACACTAAGGTTAACCTTCAAATATGTTTCCAATTTTTATTCAAATGAAAAAATTACAATATCAATTTCTAAAATTAGAATCTGTCTAGTTTTAAACTCGATTTTGACTTTAACTTTATTATTTCTTCGTTCATACTGTATAACTATACTTTTAGCAATATACTTCAACAAGATAATAATCGGAATGTTTTTAAAACATTCAACGAAATAATTGCCCAATAGCGATATTTAACTATTTCTAATCTAAAACGAATTATTCCCGGATTGATACAAATCTCACAATAAAAGCGAAATCCATTTGTATCAAATGTCCTATTAATCAAATAAGTTTGTGAACTATTATTAAACTAAAAACTATTATGAGTAACGTAATTATAATTCCACATAAATTATACAATATTAGCAGAGTCACTTCACTTATCAATACCAGCTCATCAAAACAGACTAATTGCATCTAACAGACAACCAACTACGTTTAATAATCTTTCAACGCTACACAGTATAGGTATGTTACATTGTATTCATTGCACGATAAATTCTTCAAGTACAAATATAATTTACAGCCTATATATTATAATCATTTTGTTTTTTTTTTTTTAATTTTACTAGTTCCTTACCAAGCGATTTTTAATCAATTCTCCACGGCAATTCCAAATGTTACACGTTAGTTTTTTTATTCCAGAAATACATAAATATTATGATAAGTGATATTGGTTTTTTACTCTAGTTGCTTGTTTGGTTTTTTAGGACACAATATTACTTTTGGTCCAGAAGGCAGTAATCTATTTATTTATCATTTACCGCAAGAATTCAGTGATAACGAACTCACTCATATGTTTATGCCATTCGGTCAAGTGCTAAGCTCAAAAGTATACATAGATAGAGAAACTAATCAGAGTAAATGTTTCGGTAAGTAAAATAAAATGTATACGTAATTCGTAAACTCGAATAGTGATTATTCGAGTTTTTCAAATTTGGTATTTCACAATATAGAAATATTATTTTTATTTTCGGAATAAATTCAAATACAAAATGTATTTAAAGATCAACAGAGATCAAAATAAAAACTATACAATCATAATTGTTTTTAAAGTTTCATACGATCTTGTACTAAAGATAAAAGTATAATTAAATTTGAATATATATAACAATGTATTTTAGCATATATTGAAATTTAAGAACTAACCATAAAATAAGTTTTCGAACTCAATTAATAGTTAGTAATACATTTTCAAAACTATTGTTCACAACAGGTTTTGTATCATTCGATAATCCAACAAGTGCGCAAACCGCCATTCAGGTAATGAATGGTTTTCAGATCGGCATGAAGAGATTAAAAGTGCAATTAAAACGTCCAAAGAAAAAAATGTCAAGTAGAATTTATTTTCAAACGTAATCTAGTGGTATAATCTAAAAGTACCAATCTGATTTTGCATATTACTTAATATTAAATATTCCACTGTATACTATATAATTTAAAAAGTTATAATATAAGTCTATTCAATAAGGAAAAATCAGCTATTCCAAGTCAAGTTTGACAGCAAAAGTAATTGAAACATTAACTTCGACAGATTTATTAATTTATAAACAGAAATTCAACGTATTTACTTTTTACAGCTATTACTGGCAACAACATTTTAATTTCATCATTTTTGTAACTATAAGTACTGAATAAAAAACGTTCACTGAAGAAATAATTAATAGTTAACAATAATACATATAAATTAACAAATAAACATAAATTAACATTTAATATATTAAAAGACTTTAATTTCATTAAACATAATAAATAATTAATGTAGCATTTTTCACTATAATAAAATAATCATGTATCATGTTAATAGTTTTTAGGATTGAACTAATCAAAATATGATAAGGAGTAAATATACAACCAAAATATATTTGAAATAAGATTAAAGTAGATCGTAATAAAATAAAATGAAATCAATTTGGTACTTTATCAAAAAAAATAAAAATAAATGATCTGAAGGTAATTAAATTGAACTAATTAATTTTCTTGATTTTAAAATAAATGCTGAAATATCTACAGTTATTTTTAGTAAATATCTGATTATAAATGATTCTTCGAATAAAAATTATATTCTAAGAAAATAATGCAAGTAATTTTTTTTTTTTTTAATTATTATTCCGCCAATAACTTAAATCGAAAATTAATATTGAAAAAAAATAAATTCTCAAGTGATTGTTTTGAAAATATTACATGTTATAAATACTTAACTTTAATATACAATTAAAATTAAAAAATCTTATATTGATTAATTTAAATTGAATTAAACTCTAATACATTTAAGGAAATACCTAATATGTACAGAGTATGTTATTTGATTATGTGTGAAAAAAATGTATATGTATACTAATATAAATATACATTTTTAGCTTTAATATATCTCTAATTTAAATAATATAAACATATAACTCATGTATAACAGTATATAATATAGATAATAATTATAGTATAATGGTTATATATAAAAAATATAAAGTAATGATATGATATGTTATTCCGTGATCTATATAGTTCTAATATCTAAGATATACTCGTATCTCATCAAACAATACTAATTTAATCTTATTTAAAACTGCAACTAACTCAAAAATAATTTAATAAAAATAATCGTTGTTTATTCAGTTGTATACTTTAAATAATTTTAATAAATTTATTGATTTAAGCTCATTCACGAAAAAAAATATATTTATAAACAATTGCCAATTTTTCAGTTTAAATTTAAATGAATTAAAAAAGTATATCTAATAAAATCAAACATATTCGAACACTATATAATAATAATATATATTTTATTATTTTTTTTTATTAATAAATAAATAAATAAAGTTTTTTAGCATCTAATTTTCGGTAAAACTCGTTTGCGTAAAGTAAACAATTTTTTACTTAGAAACTGACAACTCATTTGCGTACAACGAATAACGCGAAAACCAACTAATATAAATTTTGATCGATTGAATGACGGACTCGTTTGCGTAAAACTATTAAGTCTCATATCCAATACAGAATTTTATAGATATTTGAACACTTGCATTGCCTTATAATTCGGTAACGAATTTATACACAAATGCATAAATGTATTGGATTAAGTTTTTTGAAATCAGATGAGAACCGTCTCCAATTTAGATCATTCTGATTAAAATAACATTAATTGCATTTTGCATATTGCGTAATTTTATTTATAGTACATATATTTGTTTTACCTTATATTTTCGCTTACACAGCCATATAATGTAGATAAAATGAAGTTATGTCGTAATAGCCAAAAATAAAATTACACTCGTATACACAAATTTTATTAAAATAGATAAATTTATATACATAATAGAGTTGAACACATGAACTTGACGGAATTATGGAAACCTATTTCTTTACGCGTAAAAATTTGCCAGTTTTTTGTTTTTGTGATTTTTTTTTTTTTTATTAATTGTTCGTAACTTTAAAATACCTAAAATACAAACACTAATTAGGAGTTGTTTACTGACATACGTAAACTAACACAAAGATATTTTTAAAACCGATGGTTCAATTTTGTATTCCAATATTTGTGAAATGTTTATATGATTTAAAAGAAAATGTTTTTGATTTAATTATAGTTGCATATTTTGTAGCATATTGCACAATTTTTAGGAGCATATTTTGAGGATCTTTTGTGAATATAAGCCCGTTCCCTACTTCTAATGATACAATTTATCTTAAGCATTTCAATAAGATACACGTAATCCCAAAAGTTTTTGATTTACTGGTGTGAGGATATTTCTGCTACGTTTTTAACGTTTAGTTAAACGTGTGATGCTATAGAGACACGAGTTGCCACTGTTTAAGTCATTTGATTTCGTATAGTACAATGGACATTCAAATATCAAATGTTTTTGAAACGCGCGGAGGAAAACTTTGTTTTAATATTGAAAACTATAAGTATAGTGAGTTCTGTTTTAAGATCAGGTGATCTGCTGATGTTTAGATGTATCAATAAGAAATTTGCAATTTAAAAACTTTTACTATAGTTTATGTACCTACACAAACGAGTCCTACGTTTGAGCCATTGCGCAGATTTTAAAAATTCGTGTACGCAATTGAGTTGGATATTTGTACGCGAACGGGTATTGCCCCTAATTTTTAATCTAACATGATCAATTAAGTGAAATTTGACCCAAATATATCAATAATTTTGTCATAAAAATAGAAGTCGTTTTGCTTACGAGGCTTTAAAAATATATTAGTTTTCATAATTTTATAAATAAAGTAATTCTATTAACATCAAATATTTATTATGTATAAAATATTTTAAAGAGAAAAACTTGCATCAACAAATTAAATATAAACATATAAACTTATAAACATTTTTATAAACACGTTAATATTGCCCACTATACGGTTATTACTCGTATAAAAAAATACATTGACTTATACAATTTTCAAATAATTATCCCAGGGGATACAAAATGGTTCAGATAAAATATTCATTAGCTGATGATATTAGTGAAATTGTATTTCAAATATTAAAACAAATGTCTACAGTAAAAGTAATTTTATAAACTTATATATAAATAATATCAAGGGTCAATACATAAATAAATTCGAATTGGAACAATGTTTATTTATTTATACGTTCACGTTTAGTGCAAAACGTTTTAATTTTATAGTGTATTATTTAAAAGTCTATTGTATACTGGCTAAGATAATGTGCTCAACCTGTCAACTCATCTATATTAGAATAAACATTATGATTTTACATCACAGGGTATCAATCAAATTAAAATGTGATAAACTAAATTTGTCACATTATAACATAGTTTCATATTTTTATGTTACATTGTATGATTGTGATTATAATCAATACAACGGATAATTTCCACGGCGGCCATGTGTAATCAAATATTTATCATCTTTTCATAATTTTTTTCGGCCAAGTTATTTGTTCCGCTCTTCTCATGCTACCAAGTAGTTTAAAATATTAATTAACTTTCACTACGATTCCTTATAATTTTTATTTAGATGATGTCCAAACAATGTTTTCAACATTACACTTAATATAACTATACGATTTCCGTAATGTTATTTAAATAATTAACACGCATTTTCGAATAACAATTTACCAATCCCAATAATTACCTATTAGAATACAAAAACATAGATATTTTTTCAATTATTTCACATGCATTTTCATACAATTAAGCTTAAAATATTCAAAATCACTTCTACTTTTACACCGAGATCAGAATTCAAATTTTTTGTATTTCCATCGTTATATTGTTGTTGGTTTATGTCCAAAATTATTGATGTCAAACTTTCAAAGGTATACGTATAGAAGTAACAGTATTTTTATCTTTTAAATGATTACTTAATTTATCATATGTCTAACTAACAGGTTATAATATAACAAAATAATAGGTCTACTAAACTATTTTAAAGTTAACAATTTCTTCAATTTGTGCTGGATTTTATATTATTTTCATAAAAAATGAAAGACTCTATTTAATATTATTAATATGAACTTATAAATTTATTACCGAATGTAAATATTGCACAGAACATCGAATATATTAAAAATTATACTACGATTAATATTAACACTATATTTTTTAACCATAAAAATTAAGATAAATTTGAGGAAAAATAAATTAAATGTAAATTCTCTTTGAAAAGATTTATTACGAATGTACGTTCAACAAAGAATCGATAATTTATTTAATATTCTACGAGTATATCATTAATTTTAATTGTAATTAAATTCATTGTTATAAACATATAACATAATAATGTTGATTTAAATACTGAACTATTGAAAATACGTCAGTAAGCCTATAATACTCTATAATCTTAACAGAATGCTCAGACAGGGTATAGATGAATAATACTCGTATTATAATTAGTAGTATTGTTTATCTTTTAGGATTCAACATTCCTGTGTTTTGAAATTAGCTACAATAGTTCGACTACATAAAATATAATTTAATCAAGTGGTAAATCAAGAAATTTTAAAATATTGACCAGGTTAGATATTTCTAACGGACCTCCATTATCTATATACGAAAGGTTATGATCATTATATGAATCAAAATACAGCGTGATTTTTAATTAAAAAAAAAAATGGAGTTTCTTTCGAACCTCCTTAAATTTTTTATAGGTAGCCTTCCAAACATCCAGTTTCTCAAATGATACACTTTTTAAGATATAATAACGTTTTCAATAAATATACATGTGATATCATGATAAACGAGTTCAAGTAGAAACTAAATAAGATATGAGTGTGGTAGTTAGAGATATGTAAATATAATAATACTACAGCTTTTATAGTTATTTCAGTATTAGTTTGCACCAGAAGTAATTGATCATCGGATGTTGAAGTGCATAATATTTATAATGAAATATCCACTACACATATGGATTATAACAAAGCAAACCATGCATATCTCCGTTAAATATAATTAAAATTATTCAATTATATTCTTAATTACGAATAAAAATGTAATTTATTTTGAGTCCCCTAAAATCCACCAAAGTTACATTACTGTTATTAAATAATTTCCAATTAAATTATAAATGCCTGGGTCCATCGTATACATAAAAATATAACAAGACGCAATCCCATTGTTTGAGACCATGTAATCTTAAAAAAAAAACTTTTGTAAAACAACATTTAAAAGAAAAATAGAT